TCACTCACTACACTAGCATGCAGATTCCTTGTGTGTGATTGGTGATGTGTGGGGGACAGCAGTCACTGAGGTCTGGGCTGGAGAACTAGAGCAGCAGGTACCAGGTCTGAGAGGAGGACACCTGAGTGGCCGCTGCACAGCAGGGGGCCGCTGCAAACTCCCTGTCTCAAGACTAATTTTTAAAAGAAGGAAGCTTTGTAGGTATTTGGCTACTTCTTGTTCCCAGGAGCACTCTATGTAGCCCTGCCAAGGCTGTGGTCAGTGCCGGGGTCTTCTCTGCTCTCTGGCGGGGGCTGGTGAGGTACAAGTGTGTGGATTCAGAGACCAGCACTCTAGGACTGCGTCCTGACTCTGCTCCATGGCACCAAGCAAACAATGCTAACGCAGCACTCTGGGACACTGCACTTAGCATTGACTCCTGGGACATGGTCTTAACTCAGCCACAGTGTGAGGTGCGGCAGGCGCCTCACGCTGTTAGGGACCATGACTGTAGAAAGCAGCCATGTGGGCGGCAGGGCAATCACTCTTCACTGTGATCCAAGCTTCTCTGCCTGTGCTCAGCTGAAGGCTCCACCTGTTTCTGCCTGCCTTCTGGCCTCTGTTCTCAGGACGTCCCTGACATCCCACCGGAGACAAACCTTTCCCATGGGACATCCTGGGATGCAGGATGGCATTGCACTGGCAGTCTTGTCGACCCAAGGGGCATTCAGCTGTACTTGGAGGTGGTCTTTGTTGTCATAATCTGTCTTGCGGGACCACCTAGTGTCCAGGGGTAAGGAAGTTGCTAAATATCTCCTAATTCATGCACAGGACAGTCCGGTAGAAAGAATTAAGCCTAAGCTGCTGTCAGTTGTACTGAACTGGACTGTCCCGTGCTATCAGAAAACAGGAATACATGCCCAAATGGGTCAGATTAAATATGCTAAGTGACAGGGGAAGTAAGGCTAGACCTATTCCAAAGTGCAGAGGTGAGCAGACAGGCACTCTAGAAGGAAGCGAAGACACAGTGGCCATACTGCTGTCTGCCTGCACCTGTAGGCAGCTAACTCACGGTGCAGACACAAGTGCAGCTCTTCTGGGAGTTCCAGTAGTTTTCCTTTTCCTCCTGGATCCAGCCATGCCTGAAGCCTTGTACTATCTGGCCAGAACTAGGTCTTTTCCTCTTGCACATGTCTGAGCTGAGCTGATTCTAATGCACAAGCCACATTCACAGTGTGTAGACGGCACCAGATTTCTTATCCTCCCGCACCTGGTGGCCCCCCTCCAGGATGGCTGTCCTTTCTCCCTCCTGCCGCTGGTGGCTTCTCTTTAGGGCTGCAGCTGTGGCAGCAGCCATCTCTGCAGCAGCACACTACATGGCAGCGTCATTGTGTAAGGGAAGCACCCTGTCAGCTGGGACCGGGACCAAGATCAGATGTGGTTTGTGGAACAGCTGCCCGCACAAGGCTGGCAGTTAATTAAAAGCCCCACGCATTTAGTGATTAACTAATCACAGCATGATGGCAGTCAGTGACAATGGACGACTTCTCTGCTGGAGTCAGAGGAGATGTGGCACGTGTCTGCCTGGGGCCACCCAAGGCAGCAGGAGGCCCAGGAACCCCCACTGCGGCTGTCTCAAACAGGTTGCCAGCACAATCCCAGCTGTCTCTCTGCCAAGTTTACAGGGTGAGGACCCAGGTAGGAGGGAGTATGCCCAGTTCTTCGAGGCATCCAGTGGGCAGGGCTGGAGAGGCAGGAGGTGGTCCTCTAACATTTGTAGTGGCACAGCTGGCAGGAAAAGTAGAAAGAGCAGTCCCTGGGGATAGGTAGAAACCCGGGGTGAGCTTGGAGGTGGGAGAAAGGACATGGCTCTTCTTTTCCTGGCAGTGTGAGACAAATTAGGTGTGGGGTGAGTCACGTCTCTGCGTCAAGTAACCTATGTGACCGTTGACACCATTTTTAACCTCTCTACCTCAGTTTCATTGGGCCTGTACATTTTAGAGTTCACAGGGCCATTGTGAGGAGACAGCCACACAGTGGCTAGGAGCTCAGGAAGTATGTGGAAAATACTGTCAAGGGCAGTGACAAAGCTGGGGACTACTTCCTTTAAGGTCACCCAGGTGAGCCAAGGCTGTGGCGCTCACTCCCTGTGTTCCTAGATGCAGAAAGCTGGGGACTGACAGTCAGATCCTGGGGCAGGTATTTCCTTCAGTCAGGGTCTACCTCCCAAAGGGTCCATTGCCTTCCAACAGGCACCACCGGCTGGGGACACATGTTCAAAATGTGAGCTTGTGGGGAAGGGTGTTCAGATTCAAACTATAACAGCATGCTATTGTACCGCACAAGGACACATTTCAGGGTAGTGAGTATATCCACACTCTTGTACAGCCAGCATCACCATCCAACCCCCAGACTTCATCTGAACTCTGTCTCCAATCACCCAGTCCATAGTGCTCACCTCTTAAGGCCCCACCACCTTCGATAGCAACACAGGCTGGCCACTACCCCTTTAATAAATGGGCCTTCAGGGGCCACTCCAGATCCAAACTTCAGCAGGTGGAGTCGGACCTGGGTTTTTGTCTTTTGTGGCTGGCTTATTTCACTTAGCACAGTGTCAAGGTTCATCTTGCTGCAACGTGTTAGAATTTTCTTTCCAGGCCTGAACAAATGTGCCCTTATGTGCTACCACACTTCCTTTCCCCACTCACCCCCTGGTGGGCAGTTTCTTCCACTTTCTGCATAGTGGTGCTATGAGCTTGGGTGTTTAAATGATCTGTTTAGCCCCTGTTTTCATTAATGCAGTCTTCTAAAAAATTAGAAATAGTGCAAGTAAGTCCAAGGTCTACAAAATACCACATTTCAAAACAAGATGGGGTCAGTAAGGACACTGTGAGCCTTGTAAGCGCCAGCATGCTCACTTCAGCATCCCCATCCCTTTCAAGCTGTTACCCCAACCCCAGCCTGACCGTTGGCTTGGGATTCTCTCAACTCCTCTCGAGGCCCAGGCAGATGAATTATGGAGACAATTATGTATCTTCCTGCCCTTGGAGTTATTTTGCTAAGCGACAAATAAGAAGTGCTCGTCCAGGCGCAGTGTGCAGCAGAGCCCCACAGGGCAGCTCCAAGGTTGTTCCGAGACCAGAGGCTGCTCTTGATCGCCGCCTGTCGGCCCATCAACCTGGTGAAGCAGACTAGAAGGCAAGCGTGGCCTCCCACCCAAGCAGCAAAACGCAGTTCAGCTCCCACTGTGAGCAGGAGGGCAGGCGGGGCAAGGGAAACAGAAGGACAGATGAGACCCATCGGTTGTGGCCCGAGGCGAATATTCAGGTCAGAAACTCAGAGTCCTTGGTGTGAGTGGCTGGAGGAAGTCGAAAGAAGCAAGGCAAGATTCAACTCTGCTCATATCCTTGGCAGCGTGATTGCGTGTTTGTGCCTACCTGTGTACATTGTGCGTGTATGCCTGTGTGTCACGTTTCGTGTGTACACCTGTGTCTGCGTGCACGTGCGCACGAAGGTCTGTTGGTGCATACTGGTGCGTGCGTGCATGTGTGTGTGTGTGTGTGTGTGTGTGTGCGCGCGCGCTCCCTGAAGGCGCCGTCCCTGTTTGGGCTGGCCTAGAGGCGGCGACTGTTCCAAGTGCTTACTTGATGCTATTCCGCCATTGACCAGCAGATGGCGAGAGTGCAGCGGGAAAGTCAAGGCTGCAGGCGCTGTGCTCTGGGGAAGAAAAGAAAGGGGAGACTCAGATGGGGAGAGAACCTGTGCTACAGCGGCTACAAAGGTGTTGGGCCGGTGGGCAGGGTGGCTCACACCGCAGGCAGCTCTTCACACCCGCTCCGAGGCGGCTGTCCAGGGCCAGTGCTCCCGACTTCCCGCCTTTCCTGGGACATGGTCAAGGCCGGCTTCTACAACCTCCTTAACCTTTCTGACTTCCCAAAGACCCCCAGTCCAAGTGTACACTCTTCTCAAGAGCTGGGGCTTGCATCTAAGAAAGGCAGACACAGATCAGCCATAACCAGGCGCAGGAGAGCGGGGAGCTGGACGGGGACAGCCCAGCCCTGGTGCTGGACTTCCAGAGCTTGTCCAGACTACTGTGACCTTGGGACTCACTGCTCCTCCTGTTGCTATTTCCTCATTCCGAAGAGGGTCTCACTCCTCCCTCCAACACTCGACTGACCCAGTGACCAAGATGTCCAGAGCAGCGCTCAGGGTACACCCTCTCACCGTAAACCGTGGCTCTGCCTTCCTTTCCCAAAGCCTCAGACACTCCCATGTGACAGTGTTGACTATGGGACCAGTGACAGGCGATTAGGTCTTAAGTTCTTTAACTCCCAGGATGCATTATGGTCCATAGTGGCCTCTTCCACCTCCTGTTACAGGTGCTGCTGCTCGAGGTCCTTTCTAAATGTCCGTGTCAAGCTTTGGGACTTCTGTCTCCAGCACTGTGAGCTGAAGGAACTTTCGATCCATCCTGCAGCCTGCTCTGTGCAGTAGCGGGAAGCAGGTTCTTGCTAAGCTAGGAGATGCGATTAACCACACCACCTTCACTCAGATTTGGAGATTTGAGACCTGCATAAGCCTACACAGCCGGAAGCAAATTTGAGACCCCACCCTGTAGCATAGTGGCAGTGCAGAATTCTCCAGAGATAGGAGACAGAGATGGGGGGAGGGGCAGGACTCCCTGACATAGCCCTCACCTGACCAGTGGTGTCCCTTCATAAAGCTGGAGGAAGGGTGAGTCTGACGCACAGTCCTTTCTGGAAACATAGGTTCCAGAGCAGAGGTCTGGAAGCTGGCCCAGGGGACCCAGGAAACCCCACCAAAGAAGCAGAGTCCCAGGTGCACTGAGATGTCACCCATTCCACCTTGGCTGGCTGACAGGGAGGCTTGCAGAGGCCTGTGCAGAGAGCAGACTCTCTGCCTCTTTCCCAGAACCATGAGAGGGATGCCTAAATCTAATAAGTTAATCTAGACTCCTAGAAACAAGATTAAATTTTCAAATAAAGGCAAGCTCTGACAGCTAAGGCATAAATCTTTTATTTAAAAAAGAGACGAAGCCATTCAAATGCAATCAGCAGTGACAGATGCAGGCAGGAGCTGACTCTGATAGAACGGGGGCACTCGTAGACTGGCTCCCCTCGGTGACATGTCACAGAGGGTGACCTGAAGGACAGCCTGGGAGTGTTAGCACACAGCGGGGCCTCTGCATCTGTTTCCATATTGCTTCTTGGGCCAAGGTGCTGAGAGTGACAGTGTCCTCAAGAAGATGCAGGAAGATGCTGGTGCAGATGGGAAGGAATCACGGTCCCATGCCTCCATCTCAGCTGCCACAAGAGGACAGGAGAGAGGGAGGCAGCATCTTCCCGAGGTTTCCAGACCACCAGCAAAGCCCTGTGGGATAGGTAGCTGTGGCTGTGAGGTAGGAGGAGAAGCTAAGAGCAACATTTGTCTCAGCCGCTGGGTGGGCACTTCCACTTCCCAGACATTGCCCGTTCCCTACCTGGTCTGGGTTCATCCTCTCAGGCAGGAGAAAGCTCCAAAGGAGCAAGTGAGCTGCTCAGGGCTGCACCGCTTCTGAATGGCCAAGCAGAGACTCAGCCCAAGGCATGCAAGCTCCAGTGCCCCTCTGTCTAGCACTTCTCAGTTCCCAGACACCCTGAGATGCCACCAGCTTTGCAAAAAACACTGACACCTCATTTGTTCTAATTCAGGCAAAGAGAATGCTTTCTGCTAAAATCCTAAATATCACCTCCTCTGGGAACTCTTAAGATTCTTGCCACCCGACCTCTTCAGAGCAGCATGAACCCAGTCGCCTCCATTTGCATATATTCTCCAAGGACACAGTTCCCAGGACAATTCATAAATCCATGTTTTGGGAAATGTTTTATAGGATGCTACAGACAAACGGGGCTTTGCAAAGTAAAGCTGAGGGGTACTGCTGACTCTTGTCTGATTCTTTCTAGAACAGCATTTCTCAGCTTATGGGTTTCGACCCCTTTGGTGGGGGGGTCTAATGACCCATTCACAGGAGTCACGTTAGACCACTGGAAAACAAAGATATTTACATTATGATTTTTAACAGTAGCAAAATTACAGTTATGAAGTAGCAAGGAAAATAATCTTATGGTTGGGGGTCAGCACACATGAGGAACTGTATTAAATAAAGTATTGCTGCATAAGTGAAACAGGAGAAGTGGATCTGGGGGAGAGGGGAGGGAGGGGGACTGGGAGGATTGGAGGGAGGGGAAACTGCAATAGGGATGTACTGTATGAAAGAGGAATAACAAAAGGGTATTTTTCCAGCATTAGGAAGGTTAGGAACCACTGTTATAGAGATACAAAACACATCACAATACTAAAGGCTTGGAGAAATCATGCAGAAATCCTAAAAAAATCCTAAATAGCCCAACATCTCCCCAACTCACATGGACATTAAATGCTTTAGTTTCTCTCAGGATATAATGATAAAAACAGTCTGATTTATGGTTTGATGTGGTGTAACCTCTTAAGTGTTCATGTGTTAGAAAACTGGTCCCCAGTATGATAATCTTAAGAGGTGATGTGTCCTGTGAGAGGTGGAATCTAGGAGGAGGTCCTTTGCCTGAATTAGAACAAATGAGGTGTCAGTCTCAGAAGGGACTAAGGTGGTTCTGGCAGGGTTGAGTTCTTGTGAAAGGAGCTGTTTTAAGAATGAGTTTAGCCATTCCCAGCCTGACTTCCGGTCTTGCTCTGTGCATGCTCTCCTCACAACATGTTTGTGCCATGATGCCATCTGCACATGTGAAAAAGCCAGGGGTCTTTCTTTGCCCGAGCTGGCATTTTGCTGATGGGTCTTTGAGTCTCTGGAACTGTGAACTGAATCTCTTTTCTTTACAACACAGCCCACCTTGGGTATTTCCTTGAAGGAATGAAAACTGACTGTTGCACTTTAACAAGGAGTCCATTTTGAGAAATGTTGACAAAGCTATCATCTCAGGTTGGCTCAAAGCTTCCTGCTTCTCCAGCTTGCAAACTGGTGCATGGAATTCTATCATGAAGCACTAGAAGCAGTTATCTGGATGCTGGAGAAGGTGCATCTGGTGCTGCTGGCCCTCTGTACAATTAGTCTTCTTGGGTAATTCTGTGAAGGCCTTCACACTCATATATGATGGTCATGCACACAAAATGTTTAATTGATTTCCTGATCCATGGGTTCTTGAGGTCTGGAAGGCTTTAAGTTATCATCCGCTAAGGTCCTTGAGGTGGTTTGAGGCATGCTCTAGCCTTGCAGGGGTGGAAAGATATTGGAGGAAAGGCTGCTGATAGAGTCCATGCAAAGGGGCCAAACACATTCCTTGCCTTCTAATGGGAACCTGGAGAGTTGTGCTGTCACATGATCAGTGAATGGGTGAAGTGGAGCTGGAGAGCACCATGAGGCTAGGTAAGGAGAGACCCCTCTGCTTCCACAGCCCTGCACGTAGCTCCAAGCCTCACATCACTGCAGCCTGACCACAGCCAGCATGAGGAATACTGATGTAAAGATGTCAGTCAAGGGTTGTCTGGCACCAGTCTTTCCCATCAGGAGACAGCCATATGTTGGCTCTCTGGGAGCTGCCTGTGTCTGCTTCAGCTTGTATGCATTACGGGAACAGGCCTCTCTCATATCCAGGATTGCCATGGCCCAGGCCTGGACTACCAGAGGACACCATCATTTTGGTCACATGACTGACTCAGGACTATGGGACCTAACCAGGACTTAGTGCCCAAAGGATATACCATGGAACTTTCATGAAGAGGAAATATCTCTCGGGATCATGAATGGAACCATATGCCAGGAGCTGTTTGCAGCCATATTGAGTTGTGGGGGAGCTCATCTGAGATCTTCCATGGGGAACATGGGGGACATGCAACCCAGGTATCTCTGGGAAGCTCTTGACGTCAGTCTAGATCATGCTGTGATCCAGCCTTACACACATGAGCCAGTGCCTTCCTATCTTGCTTAAGATTGGCGAGCCCTTTCAGTCCCTTGCAATGGAAAGAACCCTAATTTCCATGTCAAAAAATTCCCAGGGAGCTGGCCAGAGATGGTTCAGTGGTCAAAAGCACTGGCTGCTCTTCCAGAGGACCTGGGTGTGATTCCCAACACTCACAGGATGGCTCACAACCATCTGTAACTGCAGTTCCAGAGGACCCAATACCCTCTTCTGACCTCTGTAGCATCAGGCACCAGGCATGCCATAGACATACAGGCAGGTAAGAACCCATACACATAAAATAAAAATAATTAAAAAATTCTCAGGCCTGGGCCAGATGGCTGAATTAGAATCCTCTGCAATGTGAAGATTGGCCTGCATAACTATCATCCATCCATCCATC